ATTCCCCGCTCACGCTCCTCGGGAGTGGGCCCGGGGACGGCGTCTCGCTCCCGAGGGGGACGCTGTGGGCTGGGCCCCAAGAAGTATCTAAAGTGCCTCAAGGGGGAGCTGAGGCTTCCAAGGGGAAGACAGAGAAAACACCCCCATCTTTGTCACCGGGACCCCCGCTCCCCAGCGGCCAAGAAACTCCCGGTAACCTTCCCTCCACACGCCCTCCCCACACAAACACACACAAACACACCCATACCGTGCACCGCGGCCTCGCGTGGCGGGGGTGGGGGAAGGAAGAGGACTGGGAGAAAAGGGAACGAGCTTCCCGTTCAGGCCGGAAGTAGTGCTCCCTGGAAATCCTTCCCACCCACAGGAGCTCGGAGACGTCCACAGGGAGGGTTTCCAGGCCTCTCCAGAGGTCGACCGGTGCCGAAGGGCGGCGGGCGCCTTCCTGGGAAAGGGGGTCGGGCTCCCTTGGGAAGCGAGGCCCGCGGCGGAACGGGGAGACTCCGGAACTGGAAGTGGAAGGACCTTATACTGGGAGCTCTCCGGACTCAATTAGGTGCTACCCAGTCTGGTTACCCTGGTAACAGGAGTCGCGGTTTGTCAGGAAACGGAGAGGTGGGTTCGCAGACCTCTGGAATGGTTGCCCATTAGTTAAGTTTCCCTTTAGTCTCACCCTAATGTAGTGTTCGAAGAACCCAAACCTCCTCCTCCTCACTCGGTGGGTGCTCTGGGACTCCTTCCAGTTGGGGAGGAAGGTGCGAGGGAACTTGTCTGAAGACAGAGAGGATATTACTGTCACATAGCGCTGACCGAGTGTTCCAGCCTCTCTACATCAGCTTCCTTAATCCTCACCGTAACCCCAGGAGATTGGTGCTATCGTCTTCATCTTGAGGAGAATAAACTGAGGCACAGACATACATTAATTGCTCATGGTCACACAGCCAGTAAGTGAGAGAGCTAAGATTGGAATCTAGGCAGAGTCCATGCCTTTTTTTTTTTTTTTAATGTTTTTATTGATTTCAGAGACAGGAAGGAGGAGGGAGGGAGAGAACCATCGACGTGAGAGAGAAATATTTATCAGCCGCCTCCTGCCTGTGTACTGACGGAGAATCGAAACGACAGCCTTTTGGTTTTTTTAAAATATATTTTTATTGATTTCAGAGAGGACGGGAGGAGAGAGAGAAACATCAATTATGAGAATCATCGATGGGCTGCCACCTGCACGCCCCCTACTGGGGATCAAGCCAGCAACCCGGGCATGTGCCCTTTGACTGGAACCGAACCTGAGACCCTTGAGTCCACAGGCCGAGGCTCTATCCACTGAGCAACCCAGCTAGGGTCCTGCAACCTTTTGGTGCCTGGGACACCACTCAACCAACTGAGGCACACCAGCCAGGGCAAGTCCATGTTTTTAACTACTAAGCTATGCTGAGGATTGAGGAAGTCTGGCAATTTCCAGACGGGTTCCAGCACCAGTCAGCCAAAACCCAGGTGCTGGAAAAAGGAAACTACCTAGACGCACAGACTTCAATGAGTACTCTGGCCCCTTAGGGCTTGTAAGGGTCTAGGGGAGGTAAGGCCTTATGATCTGAGAGGACAGCTTGAGATAAATTCTAAAAAGTGATACTAGATAATTCAAGAAGAAGGAAAAGATAAAGTGGTGCTGATCCACGGTGTTTTAGGAACAGTTAAGCATAACAACTAACTCCACCAAAACAATTCCTGACCTGCTCCTCCACTCCCAAAAGAAAGGAATCAACAGCTACACAGATTATTTTTACTTACATCATGTCTTTCCTCAGACTTAAGAGGCCTATTCACCTCAATCATGGAGTCATCTTCAAACGGTCTGCTTACCCAAGTTACTCAGTTCTGGAACCTACTAGATGATCTGGCTGAAAGTAACCCTGAGAGCTACAAGAACTTCATTCAACAGCAGCTGAAAGAGGGCAAACAGCTTTGTGCTGCCCCAGAACCACAGCTCTGTCTACAAACAAGAATCCTGGTATGTAGAGTTGGTGCCCTTGGATGGGAGGTCCTGAGTGAAATGATCCTGCAATAACCAGAGAATAGCTTGCCTTTAGCTATTGTTACTTTAACACTGAGGGAAACTGCCACTCTAAATGGAAAGTGAAATGTAGTGCAGAAGATTGCATTGAAGGAGTAAAAATGGGAAGTTCATATTTTTTATATTTTGGAGATCTCAAAATGAGCCATTTTTTGGCTAGAATGAAAATAAAAGTAATGATTTAATACAGAATCATAGAATTGGAGATTTTTCAAATAAAGAGAACTTAGGGGGGGAGAAGTGGTGAAAGACGGTAAAAAAAAAATGGAACAGCTGCTTAGATCAATTCCCCCTACCTCCTCCCAGTTCCTCTGGGAGTAGCAACTGGATTCTTGATGAAGAGCTTTGGGAAAATCAGGTAACAGTGTAATTTCTCAAACACAGTTTTAATACAAGTAATAACTTACTTGGAGCCTAAAAATCTCACTCTTCAAATTCTGTGAGGTGTTGTTTTTAGGAAATTATTTTGAAATATATTTGATATGCAAAATTATTTGATTTCTAGAAACCTAAAGAAAAAACACTTTTTATCAACCTATGTCAATGGAAAAGGATTCCAGCTCCCCAATCAATCACTCATCCAGTACCTCTGAGTGTTGGCAGACCAGAAGATATGTCTGAAACATCAGGTACATAGAATTATGGGACAGAAAACACATTTAAAAAATTTTATTGGGAATAGCATGAACCAGATTTTACTTGGTAAAAGACAATACATGTAAAATATTTCATTTGGTTATAATGTAGCTAATGACTAATACATATACCTTTATATAAAATGAATACTGTTGCCCGGCCAGCATAGCTCAGTGGTTGAGCATTGACCTATGAACCAGGAGGTCACGGTTCCATTCCCGGTCAGGGCACATGGGTTGCAGGCTCAATCCCCAGTGTCGGGCGTGAAGGAGGCAGCTGATCAATGATTCTCTCTCATCACTGATGTTTATATCTGTCTCTCCCACTTCCTTCCTCTTTGAAATCAATAAAAATATATTTAGAAAAAAACAAAGCTACTCATTTAAAAAGTTTTTATTACTGTTTGCCTAATAATATAAACTGTTTTTAACCCATATAAAATGCCAAGAAATGCCCTCCTTGAAATTGTGTACATTAGCATCTTTATGATTGCTTCTGAAAAATATAGGAATAGAATTTATACTTTCTAGGTTTATCAGGATTATGGCTTAATATATTACCTGACAATATCATTAGTGAAACAGGTTGTCTTCATTTCACATCCTCTGAATCTCACGCACAAATGTTTATCTTTTTTTCTTTTCTTTTTTACACACACAGATGTTTACACGGTCATCGATGTTGCCTACAATCCTGATGTTCTCCAGGCAGCAGAAAAGGACCAAGTGAAAAAAGATCAGTTAATACAGATGGCCATGAAATGCATTGAGGAACAACTCCAGGTCACTCTCTCACACGTTTACCATATTACCAAATTTAAAATAAAAGGAAGCATTCAAAGGATGAAACAAAACCTGATGGGAATCCAAACTGGCCCCACAGATTTAAAAGAGAAAATGAGAAAAGGTATTAATGAATGTAAATGGAAAATTATACTGATTTAAAATTTTTGTATCCTGTGTGCATTTTGCAAACTGGAAATCTCAATTTTAAAAGATGAATAACTTAAAATAGAAAAAGATAAAGATTAGACATTAGAAATATTAGCATGTCAAAGATTTTTAAATCCTGCAAACTTTTAAACCTTTTGGTTTAAGGTTCTTTTAAGATTCCCAAAATCAATTAGCTGCAGATTTATCTGCCATCTTGCCTAGCACTACATATATTGCAGCTAGTAGCCTAATAGTACTGATAGTTGTTTCTGTTGATTAATTTTGTGATTTTATCCCCCCCTTTTGTTCCATAAAGAACTAGCCCTTGAGCAGATAAGAAGCAGTACGCTGAGCGATTCAGATCACTTCCCTCAACTTTTACTACCAAAAGACCAAGTTTCAAGCAAAAAGGGGTGCCTGATAGAAGAGATTTCCAGTACAGAGATCCAGGTGGAGATGAAGAGACCAGCCTATGAATTAAAAATTGTGGCAGATCAGAATGAGAAACCACTGAAAATTGAATTGAAAGTTGAATTACCTGGTATTAATTCCGTATCTCTCTGTGACCTTAGTGTTTCTGAGGTAAGTTGAATAGATACTATTGTAAATTTTTATCAGTCAAGTCACTATGTTATGCTGTAGTAACTAACTCCACAATCTCAGTAATTTACAGTAATTTGCTCAGGTTACATGTCAGGTAGGCCGGCTCTGCTCAACAACCTTTTGTTGTTGTTGTTAATCCTCACCCAAGGATATTTTTCCATTGATTTTTTTAGAGAGAGTGAAAAGGAGGGGAGAGACAGGGAGAAACATTGATGTAAGAGAGACACATGGATTGGTTGCCTCCGCATGCGCCCTGACCAGAGCTGGGATGGAGCCTGCAACAGCAGTAGGTGCCCTTCATCAGAATCAAACCTGGGGTCGTTCAGTCTGAGGGCTAATGCTCTGTCCACTGAGCGAAACTGGCTAGGGCTCTGCTTAATAGATCTTACACATTTTAAGATGCAGATGAAGAAGCAATTCCTATCTGACTTATTTCATTCTCCTGGCAGAGGAAAATAGAAATGGCCAAACCATGCAATGGATCCTAAAACTTCCTCTCAGACATGGTATCTATCACTTTTATTCACATCCTATTGGCTAAAGTAAGTCACTAGGCCAAGTCCTACATTGATAGGGCAGGAAGACTATTCTCATGAGTTGTCACAGGGATATCCATATAATCCTCTTTCAGAGTTCAAATAATTGGCAACAATCCTATAGTCTACCACAGTCCACCCACTTCCTCACAAATATGTGTATCTTTCCCCAAGAAAGACACCTCCAATTTTAGTATCAGACTCCAAAGTACAGGATTTTGCCATCATAGTCTGCATTTTGCACCTCTTGAACCAGACCTATGAATTGCAAGCACAAGTTATCTGTTCCCATAATCCCATACAAAGTTAAATGGGGAGAAGATAGCCACTATAACAGACTCAATTCAGAAATGGTAAAAATATGAGGCCACAGCAGTTACTGGTACACAGCAATGCTGACATCCTGGTAGACAGGTATTTTGAGGGTCTCTTTTCCAGCATGTAGAGGATGTTCTCGCTTTAGGGCCATTACAGATACCTATATTGCCTAGCCCCGTTGTCGGCAAACTGCGGCTCACGACCCACATGCGGCTCTTTGGCCCCTTCAGTGTGGCTCTTCCTAAGCCTTAGGAGTACCCTAATTATGTTAATAACAATGTACCTACCTATATAATTTACGTTTAAAAAATTTGGCTCTCAAAAGAAATTTCAACCTTTGTACTGTTGATATTTGGCCCTGCTGACTGAGTTTGCCAACCACTGGCTTAGCCCCATTGTTTTCCATTACCTTCAGTTCCATTATTTGGGAGGTTCATGTAGAATGGACAATGTAGAATATGCCGTCCTTAGATGCTGAGCAATTTACTCAGCCTGCTTCATACCCAGAGAATGTTTGGGGTCCAAAGATTATTTTTAATTAATTTTAGTCCAGGTTGGTAATATTTAATTCCACTCAGTGCTATACCCAACAAGTCTTTTTTAGACATGTCCATTTTCCAATGGCTTGTCCTTTTTTACTTAATAGCTGTCATTTGAGTCAAATGTAAGGATTTATTGAGATCCACCTTAACCCAGGTAGAAATTTTAACAAAAGTATAAAGATTTGTGATTTAGTCTTTGCCTCTAGGCATCTTAATCACCCTTCATTGGTAAAATAATAATAATCTCAATTTTATCCTTTACTGGTTGAAATTTGCATTTCTGTCAAGTCTTAGAACTTCTTGGCTCTATATATTCCCTTTCAACTCTGCAAACTGGTGAATTCTAGTCTTAAGTTCATCCCTTTTTGTCATACCTTGTTAAACGTAGCCCATAAAACCAATGCATGCCACCAAAATTTTATTTTACCACTTCTTTACCTAAAGTCACAAATTTACTAGGTAATTTGTCTTCCAAATTACTGTGATAGTTTTACTAAGGGCTTTACCACTATAAAACATGGGTCAACCATCTTTCCAGTCTCCAGTGTTTCCTTGCTGTTTGCTGTCTGCCCCAAAGTAAATTCATGTAATTTGGGATGAAAACACCCATCTTCTGGTACTGCTCAGTTAACTTTTGATGTATTCGACAGCAATAACAAATCTCAAAAGCTCAGGGATTTACAACAGTAACGTTATTGCCCACTGCAAGTTAATGGCAATAAGTTGGGATCCTCTTCTTATGGAGGAATAATGGAGAACAGAAATCCAACAACACTCATTTTAACCAGGAAATGCTTTCCTATTTTTATCTTTTAACATCTCTCTTGGTTTATTATTCTTAGAATGATTTATTGATTGAGGTCTCTGAGAAGTACAGATTGCATCTGAATCTTCCAGAATCTGTGGATACTGAAATGACTACAGCAAAATTTATCAAAGAGAAAGCTACATTGATCATCACAATGCCATTGGTGTAAGTCAAGAGCATTATTTGTTTTGGGTTTTCAGTGCTAAAGTGATGTGAACTATAGGACCTTCATTATGGGTGAATCTTAAACACTAGTTTCCCGTTTTCTAAGAGTTCCTTTTAATGGAATGAGGTTTTCTCAACTGTTTAAAAAAAAAAAAAAACACACCTCAGTTTCTCCTTCTCAAGAAAACTTGGCATCAAGCAACAATTACTAAAAATAGTATTGCCATGATCTACTTTTTTTGAAGATATCTTAACACCATTTGGGAAAATTTTGTTTCCAAGTAACATGTGAGAATTGTTTACTGGTTGAAAAAAAAATTGTCTCTAGTAAATTTCTGCGTCAGAAACAAAACCCAGACTGTGCGTGTTTTTTATTATCAAGAGGGATATAGTCAGTGAGAATCATTGTTCAGCTACCTCCTGCATGCCCCCTACTGGGGATCGAGCCCAGAAACCTGGGAATGTGACCTGACCAGGAATCGAAACTGACCTCCTAGTTCATGGGCTGATACTCAACCACTGAGCAATACCAGCCAGGCCTAAGAAATTAATTTTTAAAAATACAGAGGTGATATACTTTTCAACTCCCATTCATCTAAGTTGTAAGATAGTTGTTCAATACAAATGTATCAACTTTCCAATTTATATCCAAAGCAATGCTCACATCAAACTATAAACATCCCTCAATTAACTTTCCTAGATACAACTTCCTTGTGATTAGTTTCTAGTTCAACATAGTCTTTTTTTGTTGTTGCAAGTCCTCACCCCAGGAATTTTTTCCACTGATTTTGAGAGAATGGAAGAGAGGGGGAGACAAACATCAATGTCACATAGATTGGCTGCCTTCCCCACATGGCCCCAGGAATAAAGTCTGCAACTGTGGTACACGCCCTTGACCGGAATCAAATGGGCACCCTTCAGACCGCAGGCTGATGCTCTATCCACTGAGCCAAACTAGCCAGGACTCAATATAAAGTCTTTAAATAAATTATTAATTTTAAAACTTTTTAACTTTAGAAACTATTATAGTTGTACTATAAATAATAGATGTTACATTTAAAAACATAATTCTTTTTTTAATATATTTTTATTGATTTCAGAAAGGGAGAGAGAGAGATAGAAACATCAATGATGAGAATCATTGCTCGGCCACCTCCGGCATGCCCCCTTACCAGGGGCTCCAGCTCACAGCAAGCCAGGCAATGTGCCCTTGATTGGAATCAAACCCCAGACCCTTCAGTCCGCAGGCCAACGCTCTAGCCACTGAAGCAACCAGTTAGGGCAAAACATAATTTTCTTAAACCTAACCTGGATTTGAATCCTTCTAGCAATATGATAATTTGTCATCTGAAAATGTTCTAGATTTGTATGATGTCCTAAAATCCCATAACCACATAGAACTAGTTGAATCTCTATTCTCGTACTCTCGGCACATACTTATGTCAGCAACTATGTATTTGTGTACTCGCTAACAAAATGCATATCAAGATCTAACACACTTAAAAAAGAAGGAATTCTTACTATTTGCCAACAGCATGGATGGAACTGGAGAGCATTATGCTAAGTGAAATAAGCCAGTCAATGAGAGAAAAATACCACATGATCTCACTCATTTATGGATAATAACGACCATTATAAACTGATGGACAAAAATACAGAGGCAAAGCAGCATTGTACAGACTGTCAAACTACAGCAGGAAGGCCAGGGAGGGTTGGGGGTGTGGGGGGTTAGCGACCAACTGAAGGACTTGTATGCATGCAGATAAGCATAACCAATGGACACAAGACACTGGGGGGTAGGGGAGGCCGGGGGAAGGTCAAGGGGGAAAAAAAAAGGAGACATATGTACTACTCTTCGTAATATTTTAAGCAATAAAACAAAAAGTTAAAGATCGAACACACTTAATGTTTAAATGTTAATGTCCTAGTTATCCCAAAATATTTTCACACATTATTTCAAGGGGTTTTTCTTTTCCATTTTTTAGAAATGTTTTTATTGATTTCAGAGAGGAAGGGAGAGGGAGAGTTAGAAACATCAATGATGAGAATCAGTCATCAATCGGCTGCCTCCTGCACATCTCCTACTAGGTGGGGATCGAGCCCAAAACCTGGGCATATGTCCTGACCAGGAATCAAACCGTGACCTCCTGGTTCATGGGTCGATGCTTAATCACTTAATCACACTGGTCAGGCCTTCAATGGATTTTATATTCATGAAAACATCACCTCCTTCTCCCTGTAAAAAAGCAAAACTTGGCCCAGGAAGAGCATTAACTTAAAATTAACTGTGGAGGTTAAATTTGAATCTTGCCAAGACCTTTTTTCCTCAAAACTGGAAATTATTCAAGGTGGATGTTAATTATCCTTGTTTGTAAACTAGATTTTTCTATAAACTTGGTTTTAGATCAACTATCAGTAGTGATCATTTACCATGTATTCCAGGGCTTCTGCACAGGTGATGAGTATTCCTTGCAACACATTCCTATGATGTCAACCCCTCTCGTAGACAATGCCCGGAGACACCATAACTACATTCACACAAACCTCAGGATTGGAGTTAAGTATCTAACAGAGCTAGACCACACTTTCATCTTGCTATGTGCCATATCCCAACATGAGGTCTTCAGTAACTCCTTGAGCTTAAAGTATTAGATTATACCCTTCTGAACGGAGTCCTGGTTTTATCAATTTTATAAAGTCAAAATGTATCTGTATTAAGAGCTTATACATACATTAGCTGTCCCTGCACTTAACCACTTAATGTGAAAATCAATTACCTACAGGTCAAAAATTAGATCAGACACATTGAAAACAATTTCACTTTTAAACAATCTAATTTGAACCAAACCACTATTTCTAACTTTTACTCTTTCAATTTTGGTAAGATAAATAGACTGAATCCAGATTTAGATTACAGGCCAGATTAATTTTTAATTCAGAACAATTTTTATTAGAAGGCAACTTTTAATTTTTTCTTTAAAGGGAACAAAAGAGCCATAAACATTAGCAAATAATGAATTATCTCTGAAGTTTCATGTGTTTGAACCAGATGTGGCTCATACTGATGATGGTCCCTATGAGACGCTTGTTCCTTCTGCATAATCTTCAGTTCAAGCTATAATTACCAATTACTGTATGTTTTCATAACTGTACAAGGGAAATATTTATGGAATATATGGAGTGTCACTGTGCACCATGTAATAATGAACATTTAGAAATAGATTCAACAATGAAAGGCCTAAATTTCAGAGGATAGCTCCACATACTACATACAAGGAAGCACTAGTCAGATTAATTTTAAATAGTCAAACAATTTCAAATATTTATTAAAGCACATCAATTCAATAGAAAGCCTGGAATTGTGATAATGTTCCCAATTCATTTTTATTATCCTGAACCTCACCCCAGTCCCTGCTTAGGAGGCAAAATGGGGAAAAATATTTAGGCTGATAAGGTAGTATGCAACCTAAATAATTATTTTCTCTCCAATAGGATTTTAGGGCTTTTTTTATTTTACACGAGTCAACACTGGGGTGGAAAAACAAAGGACACTGTAACATACATTTAAGTTTTTCCTTTTTCCAACTAGAAATGACCATTTTGTTGGTGGTGATCATCTTTTATATTCTAAACTGTTCACCAATGTATCTCTCTCCCTCTTCAGACAGAACTTGTTGATATACATACGGACTTTGGCACATATCTTGCTAGAAATCATATGTTATATATGTATACGTATTCCAGTTTCCCAAAGTTATCTGAGTAGTAAATTCTGGTAATTAAGTTCATTTGCAAGTAACCTCCAGTTGATATTGGAGGAAAAATTCTGGTTCACAACCTCTCTGTAAAATTCTATAAGCATATTCTTTTATTTGGAGGTAACTAGAATTTTGCTCAGCATTATACATTTAAATTGTTTAAACACCCACACAAATTCTCATTTATGCCAAGCAGCTGGTTTATATTTCTCTCTCATCTCAAGAAGGGGGAACAACCTTTTTAGGATACATAAAAAAAGATAGAACAGTGGTTGAAGAAATCTAAGAAAATGTTGACTTTTAAATTTTCACTTATTTTCTTTGAAGTTTTCTACTTTTCCCATCCATGATAAAACCAAGATCATATAACAGAAAAATTTTAATTAGGGTTAAGTTACAACATCACACTTCGATTCAAACCTTTTCTCCACAAGAGAATAAATTTTCCTGATTTCTCTTTTCTTCAAATATAAGGAAAACATTTGAGGCAATTAAATCTCAAAATCTCATGGTTTCATCCAGGTTACTTGAATATACCCGACTCATTCTACCTCTACATATCCCAGTGGAAGTACTTATCACCAAAGTGCTATGCTGCATGTCCCCTGCCTACAAGTATACAGCTTAAAAGCTGGTATTTACTAAATGTGCACAATATTTGGGTGTAACTGGCATTTTAAAAGATAACATAATGACCATTACAAATAACTTAACTGGACAGACTAAAAAATAACTGGTTAGCTTTAAAATAAAAAGAAACACCTATTTAATAACATATTTATATCTTTGTAAGAATGAACCAATGTAACTTGGGAAAGTCTGTAGAAATTCTTGGGTTAATTATAACAACATGGTGATAGGTTTTTCAAGGTACTTTCTAAACTCAGCAAGCCACTGGGCTCCAACTGCTCCATCCACAACCCGATGATCACAACTGAGTGTAACAGACATCATGCTAGCCACATCAAATCTAGAAAAAGATAAAAACATTATTAGATATTCCAGAAGCAATCACTGATTGTAGCCAATAACCAGCCCAAATGCCAACCAGGTAACATTATTTTCGACCTATTGTTCATGTCCTATATATTTCCAGACCAAACAGCTTGAAGAAACAGACCAAACAGCCATCTGGAGCATGGACAGGCAAACTAAAACCCCACAGGCCAAATCCCACCAAATGGAGTTTACAGGAATTCATTTACACAGTACCTATGGCTGCTTTCACACTACAGTGGCAGAGTACTTGCAACAGAGACCATATGACCCACAAAGCCTAAATTATTTACTATATGCCTCTTCAAGAAAAAAGCATGGTGACCCCTAACTTATTTACTTAGAGTAAATAAGGCTTCCCATCTCAAAAAAGATTAACTGCATTTAGTAAAATAAGAGTTGCTGCCCTGAGAAATTTTATTCTGTACTTAAGTCTGACTCTACCTAAAGTTCCAATAAGGCATGCCAATTAAGTCTAAAACTAGACTCAAAAACAGGTATAACATAATGAAAATGAACTTATAGCTCCCTCTCCATTTTGGCACTTACCCTTTTTCATTATCTGCTGGAACCAGTCTATCTTCTGAAGCACCAATGGCCAAAATACATGCCTGAGGTGGGTTAATAATAGCAGAGAAGTTCTTAATTCCAAACATTCCTAAATTGGAGATCGTAAAAGTGCCACCCTAGAGGAAAAAAATATCATGTTAATAGCTTGTCAACATAAAAAAAGGGACATTTTGTGAAAAATCCTTAAGGTAATCTTTTAAGAAAACCTTCTGAACTACCATTAAAAAAAGAGAAGAAGAAGAAAATAGAAGTATATAAAGTGACAGACATTAATCAACTTAACTGTGGTGATTTCATAATATATGTATATGTCAAAACATTAAGCTGCACACCTTACATATATATAATTCCTCTTTGCTAATTATGTCATTAAAACTAAAAGGGGAGGGGGGAGAGGCCCAAATGAAATACTCTTACTTAAAATTTACACTCTTTACAATAACAATAAAAGTAGTTGTGTGGTTTTTGTACACTACGTGGAAAACATTATTTTTAGCCTTTGAAAGGTTACTCAATTTTTCTTCATTTTTAGGACCTTGTGTCAGTGAGAATACAAGGCAGGAAAAAAAGGTGGAAAATGCAATAAAAACAGAATGCCGATTTTAAAAATAACTTAATTCTTGACATTCATAAGGAAAATAAATAACACTTTACCTGGAATTCATGTGGCTGTAGTTTACCCTCTCGTGCTTTGGTTGCTAAAGAAGCAACATCATTAGCAATGGTTTCCAGCCCCTTTATATGTGCATTAAATACAATAGGTGTGATGAGTCCTGCAGGAGTACTGACTGCAACACTGATATCGACAACATGATTTCTATTTAAAAAGAAAAAAGAAAATCTCAATGATCATCACCATTGTTTATTAAGAGCTTCTGTCAGGCTAAGCAAGATTACTGATATTTACTTCAGATGTTCTCCAAGAATGGTGTGACCAAGGAGAAAGTCAGAATCAGTAGATAACCTGATATGTTTGATAGGACTGAAAAATGGTTTAGAGTTCTTTTGGGGAGTTTCAGAAAGAATTCATGATGCGTACACAGAACACTAGCTGGCTGGTAAGCAATCTTTAAAAGCAGTTAGGAGACTGGGGAGCCTTTTTTCAGGCTGACTGGTCATAGAGTAGAAAAGCAGAGATCCCCCAACCTTGGCTTCTGTTCACACAGCTCCAGTTCATTCTGCCCTCCCTTTGCTGGAGCCCAAGGCTATGCAACTATATAATGGAGGTATCTCAGAGAACCCAAAGCAAGAGAATGAGTGTTTCAAGCTGCCATTAATTCTGAAGCAGCAGCTTGGGATTTTAGATTAAAAGAATACTTTGAAGCACATGCAGAAGTGAAAAGACAACCAAGAACGCCCACCTCAGGTGACTGGGGAGGCTGAGCCACTGGGCCCTATAGGACACCTAGCACACAAAGCCACTCTATTAACACAGGGAAGCAGCTAAAATGCGGAGACAAAGAAACATGTCACATATGAAAGAAATGGAGGAAAGCAAACTACTGGATATAGAGTTCAAAACCAGGGTTATAAGATTACTCAAGAATCTTCTAGAAACCTCTGAGAAATTTAGTGAGACCTTCAAGGATATGAAAAAGGACCAATTAGAAATTAAGCATACACTGACTGAAATAAAGAATAGTA